CTCTCTCTCTCTCTCTCTCTCTCTCTCTCTCTCTCTGTGTGTGTGTGTGTGTTTGTGTGTGTGTGTGTGTGTAAGCTCTCAGGCAATGCCATAGCACTCTGGTGGAGGCCAAAGGACAATTTATGGGAATCAGTTCACTGCTTACACCATGTGAGTTCCAGGAATTGAACTCAGGTTGTCAGGCTTGGCTGACAGGCCCTTTACCAACTGAGCCATCTTGTTGGCCTGTGCATATCACATGTTTGAAAAAAAATCCAAATATATACTGTTTTGCTCAAGTATGGGTATAAGTGCATGTTCCATAACCCTAATTTTCCTAAGGGAAAAAATAAGGACATTAGCAATTTTCTTGTTAGACACAAAACATTCTGTATCTCATAATAAGAGTTAAACATTCCTTGTGCCATACTTGCACACTGACACTGTGATAAGATAAAAATTTATAAGGACATCTTAACTATACAGTGAGAAAAAAACAAAAAACAAAAAGAAGTACTCAGCCCATATATGGGATAGAGATTTTTTCTTTTCATCGTGCTAGGCCTAGTGGCACAAGCTATTAATCTCACTTAAAAAAGTGAGGCAGGAAGATCACAATTTCAATAGCTGTCTGGGCTACACAGTGGGTTCAAGGCCATCTTGGGTAACTCAGCGAGCTCCTGTATCAAAATAAAAAGAGGGTTTGGGAATAATTCAGTGGTAGATTGCTATTGCTCGATACACATGTGTGAGACTCTAGGTTCAATGTCCAGCACTTAAAAACATTTCTCCGGGGCTGGAGAGATGGCTCAGCGGTTAGGAGCTCTGACTGCTCTTCCAGAGGTCCTGAGTTCAATTCCCAGCAACCACATGGTGGCTCACAACCATCTGTAATGGACATCTGATGCCGTCTTCTGGTGTGTCTGAAGATAGCGACAGTATACCCACATATATGAAATAAATAAATCTAAAAAAAAAAAAAAATTTCTCCGAAGCAAACCCATGAGAATACAATCATAGCTACATGAGATGGGAAAAAAAGATCAAGACCTTCAGACTTTGAAGGGCCAAACATGTCCATCTGATCATGCAACACTTCCAAAGGCACTGGAAATCACATACTACATTTTAGCTCAAAGGCTGCTATTTCTCTAGAAAATTACGAAGGAAATGCTAAAGAGACACTGAAGGCTTTCTATGGCCATATCCTGCAATAAATGTTTAAAACAATTGTTTTTCTTTGTTTCTCTACTTAATGGACTATGTAATAATTTCTGAAAGGCACTGTAACATCAGACCCCCATACTAGAAAATGCTTAAGAATTAGTGAAAATAAAATCTGAACCAAGAAAACAAAAAAATATATATATATAAAAAAGCTTCTAACAAAAATAAAACTGAGAAGTTGAGCTTAGCAACTATGTGCCTACGCAGAAGCTAGGCCACTATTTGTGTATTATTCTTGGAATTAATCCCAATCATAATGGTGCTGGTTTGCATTAACCTCTTAGTCTTGTAAGGTCTTGTTACCCAAACAATTTATGACAATTTATTTACAGGGTATCACAAATTTCCCTGTCAAAAATTATGCCACTACCAACCTAAAATAGTGTGAGTTTTGTGCTTTTAAAGAATATAATTCAGTTTTGACATAAGGAAAACTACATATTTTGGCACAGAATTCTCAAGCTCATGCCTCATAGCTAGGTTGCCTTTCATGTATGTTCCCCATGTCTGCAGAAAATAACACGAGACAACACTCATTTTTTAAAGGGTGGGAACAGGGGTAGATTTGTAGGACCTTTACCTATCCTGTGAGTCCTAACTTCAATCCCTTGGGAATGAGAGGAGTCACAGTTTTAAAACACCTGTGTTTTCGAAGCACACAGCTAGGAAATAAAATATTCTCCACACAATTAATTGAGTACATTACTCCATCTCTATACATTTTGTCTATGAAAGTAAATTTTTATCTCATAAGTCTTTTGAATCTGGTGAAAACACTGACATACTATAAACAATCTGATCAGAGACTCAGAAAACAAGTTTGTCGATTGAAACACCTAAATGCTCTAACATGCTAAGTCACCATGGGGTGTATTACAGGATTAAGTTACAGGACTGGTGACAGTCTGGGAAAACAGAATGGCTCCAAGTTGTTTTTAAGGTCCATATTAGGTCTACACCGGTTCCTGAGTAGGGATTGTTAAAGGCTGACCATATCTCCATTTAAATTTCTCCTGTCCTAGCAGGAGAAGGGTATGACAGTCCCTAAAGATAATTCCCTGTCCTAGTTTCTTTGATGACAAAAAAATAAAAAGAGGAAGCAGCAGCTTTTCTCCTCATTTAAACTTGGTGGAGGAGGAACCCAAGGGTGCAAGGACGCCAGGTGGTTGCCCAGCCAACGAACCCACTTCCTCCAGAAGTCCGGAAGTGACACATAGCCCGGAACCTATGCTGAGCCAGGGTCAGAGACAGTCCCACAGCAGTGCCTGCGCCTTGATTCACTCACTGGGTAGGAGAGATTTGAAATATCACCACCCAACACTGACTCCGCCTAAGCCCATCTACTGTCCCGCCCAGCGGTCAGTTCAGTCCACCCAGGCCCCCTCCGAGCAGCCCGCCGTGGCCGACGCCCGCGGGAGCGCGCGCCCCGCCCATAGGACGTCACACCTGCAGGCCCCGCCCCTAGGCCGGGCCCTCCCCCGCCACACACACACCCCTTCTCTCCGCCCGGCCCTGCGGGGGACCCCTCCCCCTTTAACCATTTGGCAGTAGCTGAGGAAGGGCTGAGGCACCGGGCGGCCCGGAACTTTCCCCGGGGCGAGAGGGAAGCACAGACTGTCCTCGTCCCGCGCCACGCCGGGAGCCGGAGGGGGGGGGCATCTCCCGAGTCCACCTTCGCCGTCCTCTCGCCCCCTCCCCCCCATACGTTCCAATGCATCTGCTCGCAGAGGGAGGGAGCCCAGCGGGCAAGGGGCAAGCAGGCCCAGCACCCAGTCCAGCCCGCGCCCCGCTGCACACTCGCCAGCCCCGGGCAGGACAGTGTGCGGCACCCAGCCGGCAGGCACCGGAACAAATGCTCGCTTAAAATGGCTGATTCCCCGTCCGCGGCAGCTGCAGCTAGCCGCCAGAGCTGCAGCGGGGGCTGACCGGCGGTCCTCGGAAGTGCTAGTCAGCCGCAGCCGGGACAGGGAGGGCCGCGAGTGTGCCGTGCAGTACCCTCTCCCGGTCCCACACACCAGATCGCTCGGTGCACTTCGCGCACACTGTCACCCGAGAGAGGGAAAGTACCTTGGTATTTGTTGTCCAGCTCCCGCAGCACCGACACGTTCCTCTGCATGTCGTGGGGCAGCGACTCCACACACTCCAGGTAGTCCTGCACGTAGCAGGTGAGCAGCCGGCTCCGCTCTCCGGTCAGGAGCGCGGCCGACGAGTACAGCTGCTGCTGCTGCCCTAACATCCTGCCGCCGCTGCTGCTCCTCGCCGCCGCCGCCGCCGCCGCCTCCGCATCCAGCAGCCACACATGCAACAGCCACGACCGCCGCTCCTCCGCTCGGCAGCCCGGCGCCGCGGGGACACGGCAGCCGCTCGAGAGGGCACCGCCGAGTCCCCCGATCTCCACTCCCCCCAGAAGAAACCCTTACTCCCCGCCCCCGCGGTAACAAGCCCAGGGGCGGGGCGAGACCGGGGCTCCCTCCGGCCCCCTCCCTCGCTGGGAGAGAGCAGCCGGGTTCCCCGCGACCGACGGCGGCGGACTCCCGGGCGGTGACACTGGCTGTCCCTCCTGGGACTCCCCAGACACTACCAGGGCTGCCCGGCCGCCCGGATCCCCTTGACAAGCCCCTCGCTACCCTCTCGCCTCTCTATCAGCCTCGGTGCCTGTCGGAGTCTCAGTGGACTTGCCCCCGCCCCTTGGCCAGCGGCCGCAACTGCGCCTGCGCAGCACTCACTCCTAATAAGGCTGGGGCCCCGCCCCTATCGCCCTACCGAAGAGTTCGCATTCTCCCGCCTTCCCTGCGCCACCCGGGCGATTGGTCTGTCAACTCTCGCCTGGGGCGGGGGGAGGGTGCGGAGGGCGGCCAAACGGCAGGCTGCGCCCCGCCCCCTCTTAAAGGGGCCGCATGGCTGAGCCTGCCCCTTCGCCCAAAGTCTGACTGTTGCCCCCGGGAGGCCGGGCGACCGCTTTCTCTTTTCTGTACCCTACAGAGATAGGAAGCGCCGGCTCGGCTCGCTCGGCCCGGAGTTACCGACCTTGCCTCCATCTGGCGGATCCAGCGCCTCCCTCGCGAGCCTCCAAGACAGCAGCGAGCGGCCCCTGGGCGCTTCTGGCCGAGTGAGGCCTGAGGGAACTAAGGCGACCCAGGGTGCAGCGGGCGCGGCTCCGGGCATGCGCGGCGGCTTCCCGCCGAGCGCCCCGCGGCCACGGTCGTGCTCCGGTCGCCGTCAGGCTCCCGGAGCACCGGGGCCGACCGCGGAGGTAGGCGGTGTGCCCTCTGCCCTCGGCTTTGAAATGCGGATTCCCGCCTTGCATGCGGCCCCCTCCCCCCCCCCCCCAGCGCCCGGGTGGCTCGCAGGGTCTGCTCCCCTCCTCGCGCGCCTTAAGAGTTTGGTTTAGGGAGAAGGTGGCAAGACTCCACCTCCCCGGTCCCCGGCCCCAAACCACCTTAAGAAAACTGTTTCCAGAGTCCGATCGCTTAGGCAGCTCACACCAGCAAGGACTTGGCGTGGCCACGGAATGAGAAGCTCACACACACACATACACACACCGACCGCACTGTATGTTCACTACACACACGCGCACGGCGCTGTGTTTTTACTTGGCTTCACCACTAACCATCAGGGGAGCAGTGAAGATGGCATTAGAAATCGGATAAGCCACCGAGTGCAGGGCTTGGTGTGTGAGCGGTTATCCGCCTTACTCCCCCAGGACCATCCGTGAAAGGCCAGGAGGAGGAGCTAACTGTAATTACGGATAGACTTCCGGAATGTATATAAATACTTGGGCTGTTTTGGTCCCCCGCCCCGCAGAAATAGCTATAAGTAAGAGTACTCGCCGAATTTTGACGAAACGCTTGTGTAAACCCCATTGGGAGCAGCGTCTTTGAGTCAGAAAAGAGAAACGCCAGAGTGATAAGTTTGGGTGCCTGGTTTGCAGCGCTATACCTGTTGCACGGCCTGTTCGGCCGTTGTTTGTTTTGTTTTGTTTTTCGAGACAGGGTTTCTCTGTGTAGCCCTGGCTGTCCTGGAGCTCACTCTGTAGACCAGGCTGGCCTCGAACTCAGAAATCCGCCTGCCTCTGCCTCCCAAGTGCTGGGATTAAAGGCGTGTGCCACCACTGCCTGGCTCGGAACACTTTCGTGGTGTATACTAAGCAGCTGTTGGCATGCCAAGGGAAATCTAGCTCCTGGTCTAGATGAAAATTTGGATTTCGTATAACACAACGCGGAACTCGGCGTCCTTAGGACAATGGCCATATTGTAAAGCCTGGAAACTAATGTGTTAATATCCTCTAACGCTGAGGTTTTGTTTTTTTTTGTTTTTTGTTTTTTTTTTTTTTTTTTTTTTTTGGTTTTTCGAGACAGGGTTTCTCTGTGCAGCCCTGGCTGTCCTGGAACTCACTCTGTAGACCAGGCTGGCCTCGAACTCAGAAATGCACCTGCCTCTGCCTCCCAAGTGGATTTGGATTTTATTTGTTTTGTTTTGTTTGTTTTTTTAACCTGAATTAATTTTTGTGTTTATTCACAAACTTGGTTCAGCCAGTGCTAGCTAAAAGGTCGAATTCTTGCAAGCTGCTCAGTTTCCCGTTGATTGGAGATAGGCACTGTGTGGGCCCATGGATTTTATATAGCCTGCTTACTGATCTACAGGCAGACTTGATGTGTGGGAACTGAGGAAAGTTGGTGATGCAGACTTACCCGTTGGGAAGCAAGGAAGGATTTTTGGAAAGCACACTTGGTTCCTCTAATAATTCTGACAGACTGGAGGAGGAGAAAGAAATCCAGATTGTTGTATTTCCACTGGCACTGGTAGAAACCTTTACGAACTTCAAACATGGCAATAGGTATGGATTATTGCAAGTGTGCTTTTCTTGCCGCATTTATTCATGGAGGTTAATCTGATTCTGGCATCCTTCTGAAAGCAGCCTGTGTGGGGGAAAAATGTTACAGGAGCCCATCATTCTGAAGCAGCTGGTCTGATAGAAAGATGGAGTGGTCTTTTGAAGATACAGTTATAGTGTATCTTTTATAATGCCAATTATATGGCAGCAGCATGGAGGGCTGGGTCAGGGTTCTTCAGAAGGCAGGATATGCTTTGAATCAACATCCCATATATGGTGCAGTTTCTCCCATAGCCAGGATCCATGGGTCCAGGAATCAATGGATAGAAAAGGGAATAGTTCTACTCACTATTACTCCTAGTGACCCTGTAGGAAAATTTTTGCTTCCTGTTTCCACAACTCTAGGTTCTGCTGGCCTAGAAGTTTTGGTTCCAGAGCAGGGAGTGCTCCTACCAAGAGCCACAACAAACGTTCCACTGAACTGGAAGCTCAGATTTCACCCTGGTCATTTTGGGGTTCTAATGCCCTTAAACCAACAGGCTAAGAAAGGAATAACAGTGTTAGGAGGGGTGACAGATCCAGATTACCATGGGGAAACTGGATTGTCTCTCCACAATGGAGGTAAGCAGGATTATGTCCAGAGTACAGGAGATCACTTAGGGTGTCTCTTAGTACTACCGTGTCCTGTGATTAAAGTCAGTGGGAAACTACAACAGCCTAATCCAAGCAGGATGACAAAGGGCACAGACACATCATGAATGAAGTATGGGTCATTCCTCTAGGACAAGAGCCAAGACCTGAGGTGCTTGCAAAGGGTAGAGGAAGTACCGAATGGGTAGTAGAGGAAGGTAGTTATAAATACCAGCTAAGGCCACGTAACCAATTACACAAACAAGGATTATAAAGTAATATGAATGCTTCCGTTTTATTTTGTTAAGAATACATTTGTCTTTCTTCTAATTTCTTTTACATCAATTGGTATTTAAATTGAGATACTAAATGAATGTTCCCAAGTGACATTGCCCCATTCTAAATTTACAAATGCGTTTGTGATTGTACGAGGAATAGTTAGATTGTGTTAGGCATATTCATGACTTGTTATTGTTTCACGTGGACATGAGATATTATTTGTGTCAAGTTGACAAGGGGTGGATTGTAATGGCTATTCCTGGTTGTCAACCTGACTATATCTGCAATGAACTCCAATCCAGAATTGGAAGGCTCACCTGTGATCCTGATCTTCAGCCTGGGAGATACAAATTTCTGACCTGGATCTTGGCATGGAGATCTTGAGGCATAGTGGTTCTTAATCCCAGGAGATCAAGGCAAGGAGATCTCTGAGTTCAAGGTCATCTGGGACAAAGCAAGTCCCAGATCCAGGCATGGTGGTACACATCTTAAATCTGGGCCATACCTTCTGCTGGAGACCTCCATAAGGACATTGGAAGAAGGAAGACTCCCTCTTCTTTGCCTTGTTGGACTGAGCAACTGCTAGACCCTTGGACTTCCATTCACAGCTGCTGCTAATCATTGTTGGGGAATTGGACTACAGACTGTAAGTCATCAACACATTCCCTTAATATACAGAGACTATTCGTAAGTTCTGTGACTTTAGAGAACCCTGACTAATACAGCCTCAGACTTAAGATCTCTTTTATTTATCTCCCAAGTGCTGGAAATACAGACATGTGCTACCCTGATCAGCTGGGTTTTGTTTTGTTTTGTTTTGTTTTGTTTTGTTTGTGTGTGTTTTGGTTTTTTGAGACAGGGTTTTTCTGTGTAGCCCTGGCTGTCCTGGAACTCACTCTGTAGACCAGGCTGGCCTCGAACTTCTTCAGAAATCCTCCTTCCTCTGCCTCCCAAGTGCTGCATGATCAGCTTAATAAATATATTTTAAGTTTTTTATGATGTAAACTTCCAAACACAAAAGTATACTTATATATACCATTTGCTCAGATCACCGTAATCAACATGTGCCTATATTTAATATATAACCCTTGTTTTTTACCCTCAGTGGCTTATTAAAATCTCATGTGATTGGGGCTATAGAGATGGTTCAGTGGCTAAGAGCACTTGCTCTTGCAGAGGACTGGGTTCATTTCCCAGCATCCACAATGCACTTCACAACCATTCCTAACTCCGGTTCCAGGGGATCTGACTCCTGTGGGCACCAAGCACAGATCGGTGCATCTACATACATGCAGGCAAACACTTATACACATAAAATTATCTAAACACTTTCTTATTTTTAAAAAAAGGCAAAACTTCTACAAGGCCACTGAACAGCCAGCCAAAACATCTCTGCTGGTGACACTGCTTCTTAAAACATTCATCGAAAAGGAGTGTCTATGCTGCTTAGCAGTGTAGGGCCTCTTGTCTGGCCCTACTTCTATTTCCTGCTCAAATTCCCCGTCTTGTCAAAATGATGTGTGTG